GCGAGAAGCGGCGCGGGCGAGCGATGTGCTGGCCGTGGCTTCTCGCCGCCCTCATTGGCCCGGGACGGTGAACCGCGGCCAGTGGGGGCCGTGATTGGCCGAACCTGCCGCGTCAGCAGGTAAATAAAACTGGCCCGGCCCCTGGCGAGCCGCGTGCTGAATGTTGCCGACTCCTGAGGTAGAGTAATACTGAAGCTAGTGTTGCTGCAGGTGTCCTTGTGGACATAACCTAAGCAAAATACTGCAGCTATAAGGCATACCGTTAATACAGTTTCTCTGGAGCATTAGTTTTATTTCATTTATTATTCTTGTCACTAATTTTACTGTCTTCCCCTCTCCTAATTCTAGAGCTACCACTGTTTATCACCATAATAATGCATTCAGTTTCTTCTCAGTATAATTAAAAATAGCATAACAGCTCATCATATATCATTTTCTAAAATAAACTCTTTTTCTTGCTTTAAAATGCTTATCCTATGTTTCTGCCTACTTTGCACATTTGTAGTAGGAGCTAAATATTTGGATTGTCTAAATGTCCAATTGTACAGCTTTGAGGCAGACAGTTACTTGGAGGGAAAGGGTAAGTGTAGATATGTAAATTGTAGGTAACCTTGGTGGTAGGCAGTACCTTAAATATTCAACAGCTAAGTTTATTGTTCAAAGTCTAACTGTCCTGGGTATTAAATTATTGGGTTTACATTTGAGCAGTATTTGTATTGGGATGTTTGGATAATATTTCAGTTCTTCTGATGGGCTTCTTGTTTCCAGTTCCAGAGAACAAAACTATTAAATGGGCCAGGAGATGTGGAAACAGGGACAGGCACAAATATACCTCAGAAGAAGTGGCTGCATTTTATTTCTCCAATTTTTGTTCAAGCTTTTACTTTAACGTTCGTAGCAGAATGGGGTGATCGCTCTCAATTGACAACAATAGTCCTGGCAGCAAGAGAGGTGAGTGTGATCGATACAAAATGTCCTTTTGTCCTGTTTTTGAATATTGGCAACAGATGATGTAGAGAGACAGATGGTATATCCTTTATCAACCCATCAAATTCTCAGCTTCTCCTTTGTAGTTTATTAGATATACCCAGTTAATGTTGGGAGCATATGGAGGCATGAATCTGAAGGCAGTGTGGTTATTTCTGTGCATCCTCAATACCTGAGGTGTTGTTACTGTTACAGTCTCCCTCTAAAGATAGTTATATTGTTTACTGCATGGTTTGGGACTGCAAGTGTCATTTCTGGAAAAAGCTGTTTTCTCTCTTCAGCTGTACAGTATAAGATTTGTCACTTTGTTCCATGCAATAACCATCATTTAAGAAACCTTTTTGAAAATGTAGGCTAAGCAGATATTGCTATTAAAACTATTTATAGCTTTAAAGAGGAACTTGTAATTTGATCAGTCCTTAAAACTGTTAAAAGCTGATTGTTTCTTAGAGTCCAAAATGCATTATCTTCTTATATGTACCACTATTAATTGTGAGCTGCTCTGAAAAACAAGCATTAAAATACTATTTCTATTGATTGACATCAACATTGCTGCTAAAGCAAGGAAGACAATGAAAAGGGGAATCCACTTAAGTTTCTGGTCTGCTGGAAATGGAGGGGGAAAGATAATCTTTCTAGATAGATGCATACATGCTGCATATCTCTTTCCTAATACATATTCATATTACACATGCAAATATTATGCTTGCAAAATCAAACATTCAGAAAGTAGGAACTGCCACAACAAAGGCTGTGTGTGCGCAACCTTAATTTGGCCTCTTTGTGCATATGCATTATGATAGTATTTAATTACATTACATATTATTTTTCCACAGGACTCTGGCCTTTCAGTGCACAGGATGGACCTGGCCTGGATATGAGTATTTCACAAACACTGACTATCTTTACAACACCCCTGTGAGACAAGGGGCTATGAGACAGAAAGTTTAAGATCAAAAGTATCCATGAATATTTGGTGTCCAATTTGAGACTCCCAAGACCTTCAAGCTTGTGTAGTGGAAGAAGCTGTTGTCTTGGGACCCTTGCTTCCTCTGTTGCAGAAGTTGGAAGAAGTATAGTGAATGAGGCAGGGGACTGCCAGAAGAGAAAGGATGGTCTCCTGGTTAAGACAATTTAGTGATTTCTTGGAAAATTTGGTTCTATCCCTGCCTCTGTACAGAGTTCCTGTGTGATGCTGGGCATATTGCTTAAACAAAACTTTTCACAGGTGGTCACTAATTGTGTTTCTAACTTTCCAGGTACTCATCTTGAGACCTGGGGTCTGATTTGCAGAAGTGCAAGTTTAATCAGGTCTTGGGAAGTCTCAAGTTGGACACCCCAAATTAGTGGATACTTTTAACCTTGCACACACTCTGCTTTATAGTTCCTCACCTCACAGGGGTGTTGCAAGGGTAAGTCAGTTAATGTTTGTGAATGACTTGGATACCGTAGTGATGAGTGCCATAGAAAAGCACATGAGAAAATTAATAATTCTGTCATCAGACCAGGGTTTGAATAGTGTGGAGTTTTCAAATAGTATTTGAACAATGAGGTGAAAACAAAATATTGAGTAGCTGCTCATTAAGTGAACCTTATCTATCCTGGGCACTGAAAGAGGCAGGCATCCTGTGATCGTGTAATTAGACTGATTATGTATGTAGTTTCATAATAATGCATACGCACCAGGAAGCTGAATTAAGGTGTCTCAGGCAACCTGAAGTTTGGCATTCCTAACTTTTGAATGTTCAACTCTGGAACTTTTAATGTATTGTAAATGTCAGGTTTGAGTTATTTATTTTGGTCTTTTTATTTTGGGAGTTGCATTACATTGACACCCACATGAGTCATCAGCAGGGTTGGAACCTTTGGATCCTCCACACAAACCTCTGCCACTTGAGCTAGCAGAATAACTGATAGCAATAGTAGGTTGTCATCTTCTGTGTACCAGCACTAGCTGTGTATGAATCACATTTTGCCAGAGGGTTTCACAGATTTGCTGACAGCACAGGACTGATGAGACTCAGTAATTTTGGGTTCCATACCAGTCTGTGGAGGGGTGTGCTCTAGTGAGCACAGTCCCTTCTGCCCATTCCCTCCCCCCAAATGTGACCCCTTTTTGCCTTGTCTCCTCCAGCCTTTCCCTGTCTTTTTTTCTTCTGCACCCATGGCTCCTCATCCCAATCCAGTTCTCCCTTGCCTAGCCAGTACCTGTCTCCCCTACCTTGGGCTCCCTGTCACATCAGTTGTTTTCTACATCTCCAAGGATCGTTGTCCTAGTCTCCTTGCTCAGCCAGTCCCAATTTACTCCCCTTCTGGGTCTGATGTTTCCCTGAATAGACTTTTTCTTCTTTGCTTTCTAGAGACCCTCCTCCCCTTCCCCATGCATTCCTTGTAGGGAAGAAATACTGTCATTTCTTTTTCCTTCTGTTGAGAGTCTAAAATCTTTCCTTCCTAGAGGAAGTACAAAAAGTTTCAAAAATACAAATGACAATTAGGTACCCAGCTGCTACTTTTGCATTTTGAAGATTTCCCCAGGTCATCGTTGGTGTTAACACAGTCTAGGATTGTTAGTTATATCCCGACTACTGTAAGAAGGTAAGACAGAAGGAGAGGATACCTTGAGAAGCTGTGTAACACTTACTGCCGTGTTTGTTCTCTATAGCAGAGCAGTTGTCTCTTGTCTTTTTATTTACCCTTCCAGTAACCTTTTTAACAAAAAAGCAACTCTAAAGCCTTTAACTTTGTAAAGTGGTTTGTAGGCAAATCTTAGCTATCCATTTAAGTATTGGATAAGTAAATGTATGCAGTTGAAAACTTCATCCAGTGATGTTACAGTTGTGACTGCTGGTAAACCTAGAATAGAATAACAGTTGCCATCTAGGCTAAAATTTGATACCCATATTTCCAGTCCTAGTCCCTCTGATTTCATATTACTTTGGGTGGCCTTTTTAGAGAAGGTGCATTAGCCTCATGAACCTTGACAGAATACTTCTGGTAACTAGCATGTGCTCTGACTACCAAAAATTTCTCTTTACAGTTTGACATTTCTTAACTTTTGAGTTAGTGGTGTTCTAATTGTGTAGTTTTGCTTTGCTTCTAGCCAGCTGTCAGCCTCCACCCTAGAAGTGGCTGCTTTTCAGTGGTAGATAAACAAAGTGAATCCTGGGTCTGTGTTATGGCACTTTTCAACCATCTTTAAGTGGTTTAATAGGCTGCTCCTGATTTATCAGATTTCAAGTCTTTTTCTGTTGTGACTGTTCCTCAGTGTTGCAGGAAACAACTGCTATTAAGCCATGCAAAACCCCTCAGAGGGATTGACGATATTCTCTGGGGATTACCTTGCCTTGCAGCAAACTAAGAAAGCATAATTTTTTCCTGGTAAACTGATGTTTGAGCCTTGTAGGTTTTCAACTGTGCTAATGTTGATCTTTTGTGTTTGCATAGGATCCCTATGGTGTGGCAGTGGGAGGAACAGTAGGACACTGTCTTTGCACTGGGTTAGCAGTTATTGGAGGAAGGATGATAGCACAAAAAATTTCTGTTAGGACTGGTAAGTGAAATCTCATTCTAACTGAAAAAGAAATACTCAATACATCTATAGCTGGCTTCAGGGACCATCGGAATGAAAATGGTGGTATGTGCACTTGGGGTGCAGTTAAAGGCAGTGTTTTTAATGCTAAAGAAGGTATGTGATGGAGTTTAAAACGGTGTGTTTAACTTAATTTTTGATTGTCACACTGCCAAACTCACTGGAGGCTTTTATAGTTGCCTTTAGCACTTGTCACTTCCACCTCACACCCTTCCTGTGAAAACTTAATCCTCTGCCTTTCACATGAGTGCACCTCCTGCAGGTATAGCTACACCGCACACTTCTTCCAGTGGCAGGTAGAGTACATACCTGCGCGCCAGCATGGGTATAAATAGCACTGTAGATGTCGAAGCATGGCTAAGTGAGTAAAGTGAAGACACACTTGAGCCATGCGGTATGTACCCTGCATTATTCTCTCCTCGCCCAAGCAGTGCCTCCCCCATCTACGTTGCTATTTTCACACTGCCTCCCTGTTGCCAGAGTCTATCCCCGACATGTGGAGCTACACACCACAGTGTGGACGCAGCCTGCTTTTCGCTATAGCATGTAGCGATGCATAGCCTACATGCCACCGCAAGTAGAACCAGCCAAGCTAAGATTGTGCGTTCCTTGCAACTTAGTGCTGGTTGGTGCTATGTCCAGGAGCTCAATCATAATCACGTTTGGTAATGTAGCAAGTCTTTTCTTTCTTCTTTTCTTACTGTGATTTGAGTTTCAGGTGGGTATTGAATTCCAATACCAGGGGTTTAAAAGTAAATTAAGATGAGGCACATAATTTAGCTCCTGGGGTATGGAGGTGGAAGAAAATCTTAAGCATTTAAGAAACGCAAAGTATGCTGTCTGGCAAACAGCAGCAGAGATTCTACCCTCTAGGAGTTTAGGCTCGGTCTTTCAAAGGAGAGGAATTAAGGGGGTTAGAGAATCCCAGAGCTATTGTACATGTGGAACAACTGCTTTTCAGAGTATCTGCTGTGCATAGCAGGTGTTTTTATAATATTTTGACTAACAGGGATATGCCCATCTTGGAGGCAGGCCACAGCTTGTTCCAAATGTAATAGTCTTATTTTCTTGACCCCAGAAAGGGTACAAGACACATCAAGAAAATTCATTTCTGCAGCAATAGCGTGTACACATTTTAAAAGTAAATACTATTCATGAAACTTAGTCCCCTGTTTACACCTGCCAAGGAAACATTAGTATCTCATCAGCAAATAGTGACTTAAGATGCTGCTGAGAAGCATCATGATACAATTTCTCTGGTCACTGCGGGTGGAGTTGTAATGTTTCTAAAGTCAGATTTTCAGTGCTGGTATAATCTGGAGAACTATGCTAGCAGTACTCCTCAACATTTGCTCTTTGTGACTGCACCTTTGCCTTAATGTAGAATAAAGTAGGTTTTTTTTCTTACTCCTGTGAGCCAAAACTTCCCAATTCCAGGGGAGCAGGCTGCACTTTACTCTGGTTTATGTATAATAGAGTTAAAACCAGGTTTCATTTTAAGGGTCAAAATTTATCCTTATTTACATCTGTGCAGCTAGCCAGTAGGATGACAATAGACACACCTTGGCAGGGTGTTGCATGAGCCAGAAATAACTTCCAGTGCAGGCAGTTTAACCTCTGAACTGTGCATGTTGATGTGGAAGTCAAGTCCATGAAAATGGACCCCCTCATGAGGCATGGTAGAAGTGCATTCAACTTGTTTTAAAACTATTTTTACCTGTACAACATCTAACTTTTTTCTTTTTGTTTTTCAGTGACAATCATAGGAGGCATTGTTTTCTTGGCATTTGCATTCTCTGCACTATTTATAAGCCCAGAGTCTGGTTTTTAACAAGCTTTTTTTCATTCTCTTTAAAAGAGCAAGGATTGGGAGGAACAAGCTTGTCCTTGTGTGTTGCTGTATATAATGTACAGGTATTGTTGCTAAACAAGCACTGAAAATGAGAGACTGCACTTCTATAGCAATGATTTGTCAGTTTGGCACATTCGTGGACCCTGTGCCATGAAGATCTGCTTCCTGTCTGGTTTGCAAGGTGTATTTAAGTGGTGGTTGGGTGCCTCACAGGATTTGAGTCGCTTTCTTGCTTGCTGAACCTGATCAGATGGCTTTTGAGGATCTGCATCCACAAACATGAGGCTTCCTTCCTCTGTTCCACATGATCACTATTGCTGTCTGTTCTAGAGCTTATCCATCTGGCTAATTGAGCAGCTGCCTTGCCAACAGGCATTTATGATGTTACAAATTTCCCAATAGCCAGTATGAGGGAGAAAATCATTGACTCACACTTCACTTCCAGGATACCCTAGTAGCCTAAGAAACCTGAGGGCAGTTCCCATGCCATTAAGTGACTGAACCACCTATTGAAACGTTTAGAATTAATTTTTAAAAAGCAAATATCTTAATCAGGGGCCTTTGGTATGAAGTCAACAAAAGTGCTGACTCATGATGTACTGTTTTCAACAACAGACAATCTGGCTAGATCTGATTTTCTTTTCTTAACCAATTCTTTTTTGTATTAAGTTGAAAACTTATAATATACATCATAGTAATAAAATGGTCAATATTTGACAATGCTGCATTCCCAAATTTGAACAATAATGCAATTCTTACAGATTAAGATGTGTTATTTTCTTTAATAGTGTAATGGGGGGAATGTAAATAAAACAGTGGTGTCTCCATTTTAGTTACTTTCAACTTCTTTTTTGATGGTGGTTCATTTAATTCCCTTAGCAGAGAGCGAGGTAATGGCTTCTTGCGTGCACTGAGGGAGAGGCTCGCTTCTTATCCAGGTATGGTTGAAAAGGGAAGCGATGTTGATTTTGTGGCTGGAGTGATAAGATGTCATGACAACTTTGCACAGCTTTATTACCGGAATATATCTGTAAGCACTCTGCCGTTTATGCAATGTGGAGTTGGCTTCTGAATTCACACCAGGTGCGTGGCGTATAATGCAGTGTTTTAAGCTGAAATACATGAAGTAGCAGACTTCTGTAAAGTGCAGTCCATGATGGTTGGCTTTAGCAGGTGCTCTAGGACCAGGGGTGAAAGTGAGCTGCACCGACCCATACGCAGCCCACATTAAAGTGCTGCTGTGGCAGTGCTTTAATGTCCCTGCCTCTTTTGCCTCCCCTGTCGGCAGCCCTGCTGGTAGGGTCCATCCTGGCAGGGCCATCAACGGGGGATGGGCAGCGACGTTAAAACACTGCTGTGGAAAAGGGCCCTGCAGCGCCTTAATGTCCCTACCCCGTCTCCTCCTCCCCCCCCCCCGCAGCCTCCGACGGGCGGGGCAAAGGGAGCAGTTGCCCTGGGGCTGGCAATTTAAAAGGGCCCGGGGCTCCAGACGCTGCTGCCGCTAGTGCAGCATCAGTGTCTGGAGCCCCAGGCCCTTTAAATCAACTTGGGAGCTCCAGGCAGCGCAGGCCAGGTGGCCTGAAAGGGCTGGTTAGGGGATGCTGACGCCCCCAGCCCCATCCCTTCCGCCCGAGGCCCCGTCCCTTCCGGGGGCCAGAGCCGTCCCCCCGGCCCATACCAGTAAGTGGCCTAACTTACTTTCACCCCTGCCTAGGACAAATATAAATACTGAGTCTGACAAAGTGAAGACTTGAATAGTTGTAGGCTTGAAGTGTAACTTTCAGAAACACTTGAACTTGAAACTTCTTGGGGCAGGCAAAACTT